TGAGGACACTCCACTTTCTCACGCACCTGCTTGACCAACACGAGTCCTTCGGGACTAGTCTTCCCCTGATAACTTGTCTAAAGCACATGAGGCGAAGGCTTACCAGCTTTATTTCTCTGAAGCCTTCTAGATGGACTTCCTCCAAGACTGCTCCGTGTGTTCCTCTAGTCGCGGCATTTTGTGTATTTTTCTCTAACACTGTAATTCAAATGCATAAACTCGCCGGTCTTCCTTATTCACTGTCTAGTTTTTATATGTATATGAAACTATTGAAAATACCATGGCTTGGGTCAGGCACACCATAGTCTGAAAAGTCACATCTTTGCTTTTTAGCATTTTAAATAGATCTTGTGCATCAGATTTGCCTAATGCAATATGCCGTGTGACTTATTGACTGCTTTTTCCGTGAACATTGATCATGGATGCCAGGAAAATGAAATCCTTGAAAATGAAAATGAGCTAGCTTTATGGAGATAAATTCACAGGTCATAAAATTTATCCATTTAAAGTATACAATGCAATCGTTTTGATTATATTTATAGATATGTGCAATCAGTTTCAGAATAGATCACTTCAACAAGAAATCCCATATGCTTCTATTTTCATGTATCTTCATATAAATTTCCATGTACTTTAAATATCACCCTCAATCCTTCCATTCCCTCCCTCCACAGCCCTAAGTAATCACGATTCTACTTTCTATTCCTATAGACTTTCTTAGTCTGAACTCTCATATGAATGGAATCATGTAACCTGTGACCTTTTGTGACTGACTCCTTTCACCTTCGAGGTTCATCCATGTTGCAGTCTGTATCAGTAGTTCCCTCCTTTTTAGGGCACAATAACATCCCATGAATCAATAGACCACATTGTGTTTAACAGGTATCCACTGGTGGACATTTGGGTTGTTTCCATTCTTTGGACTATTGTCAATAACACTGACATGAACATTCAGGTACACGTTTCTGTGTGGACATGAATTTTCATTTCTCTTGGGCGTGTACTTAGGGTGGAACTTCTAGTTCACATGGTAAGGTCACTCCATGTTTTAGTATTTGAAGAATTGTCAGATTGTTTTGTCCAAGGTCTATAATATCTGCATGATGTGTGAGCTATGGGCAGTACCATTTGACAGTATTGAGTCTCTCTTTTAGAGAAGGTTAAGTATAGTCTTCATGATTTATATTACTGAGCAGAGTCCACTCTGGACTCAGGCCACAACATGCAGCTACTTGTCTTACTGAAAGGCTGAGAGAGTATGTTAAGCCCCGGACACACCCCTACCTGCATTGTGTTGGGCCCTATCAACCAATGAACTTCACCATGAGCAGGTCCGAGGACACCATGCTCCTGCTCAACAAACCCATCCTGCCTTGGCAGCTCTCAGCACATCACACTCAATGCTACAGGGAGTCTCTCTGCAAGTGCTATGTAACTTACAACATGGCTGTGTTCATTTCTTATGGCTGCCGCCACCAAATACCACCTCCTGTGTGGCTTATGAGAATAGGAAGTCACACAACTCCAGAGGCTGGGAGTCTGATTTCAGTGTATCAAATTGTTGATTCTTTTTGGAGATCTGAGAATCTGTTCCATGCTGAGTTCCAAGCTTCTTTTATCTCCCAGAATCCTTGGCATTCCTGGACCTGCAGCTGCAACTGCTTTTTCTCCACATGACCATTTTCCATTTGCGTATCTGTGTCTATTCCTCATTTATAAGGATACCATTCATATTGGATTAGTAACCATTCTACTTCCACATTCCCTCAAGCTAACTGATAAGATCTTCAAAATTCCCATTTTTCAAAGAAGTCAAGTTTATAGGCCCCAGGTGTGAGAACATCGACGTATCTTTTTTGAAAATTCATAACAGTTGGATTCCCAACAATGAAAAGTTGAGTATTGAGGCTCTGGAGAGGGGCACAGATGCCATGGACTGGGATAGTGGCTCTCCACTATCATGCATTTGCTCCCACTGAGAAGCTGGGGATTTAGAACAGACCTTTGCCAGGCTTCCAGGAAAACAGCAAGCACCCTCCCCCCATTCTTATATTGTTTGCTTGATCTATGCGTCACCAAATCTAATCAGTGGTGCCCTCTCCTCCACAATCAATGGCTCTTCCACTCTGCTTTACAGATCCTGGCTGCCTCTGTGGAAGAGGCCAAAAATGGCAGGTCTTCCGGAAAGAATCAGTGAATCTATGAAGTGAACAGAAAGTAGTGCTTCTTTGAATACTAATGGTTTCTTTTTAAACACTGTAATCCTTTTCAAAGGCAAGAGGAAGCAATAAATCACATTGGGCTTAGGATATTAGTTTAATACAAAATTATACATTTTATCTTTATGATCTTCTGTAGTTTCTCAATATATATTCCCTAAATGTACATAATTTTGTGCATTTCCATTTATCATTTTTTCCAGAAGTAATATTGCTGTTTTGGTGCATTATTATAAAAGCAAAAAGATGAATTGGGTCCTTCAACATCTTTAGGTTGCAGCACTGCTTTATGTCTAAAAAAGATATCACCTGTCTTCTTTTGAATCAAAGCAATTTTATTGCAAGAGTTATTCTGGAAGGCAAAAGGAATTGGAGCCCTAAACCATTTTATGAAAAAAAAAATCATGATTCCTAGTGCTCCTGGGGGTTGTTGCTGTTGAATTGGCTTAGATTCATGGGAGTTTTATGTATAACCAAGTTAAATGTTCTCTGGTCCTGCACCATGTTTAGCGTTGGTTAGTTGAGTTCACGGTTGTGATTAATGCATTCATCGAACTCCTTTAGGGTGTCACTCATCTTCTCTGACCAATCATGATGCTCGTTCCTCGCTATTGGCCATTCCTAATGACCTGTACAAAGTAAGGGAGATGATGTGTCGCTATCATTGCTTCTAAGGAGCATTCTGGTTACATTTCTTTGAAGACTGATTTATTCATTCCTCTGGCAGCCTACAGTCCATTCAATGTTTTTTGCTTTGGGGCTTTTTTTTTTTGTCAGCAACATAATTCAAAAGCATCAATTCTTCATCTGCCTTCACTTTCCATTACCTGGCTTTCACAGGCATATGAGGTGATTAAAAGACCACCGTTTAGGTCAGGCACAGCTTAGCCATCAAAGTGACATCCTTGCTTATGTGCTCTTGGCAATGTAGGTTTATTAATGCTAGTAAGAGAAGAAGAAACCCGGAAGCCAGTCATATTATAGGCTTGCTAGATATGTGCCCTTTAGACCAGGCTCATGTAATATCACAATTTGAAAGGTAAACAAATAGATATCAGCTTGAGATCCATTCAACTCATCTCCCTTCTGCGGGTCCTAGCCCCTGATAGATTTCTTGAAGAAAGTGCAATAGAGATAAAAGGGCAAATAGCATCCAGACGCAGTAACAAAAGTGTTCCTTTTGTCCTCCTCACCATCTGGGTTCCTATGGATTAAAAGGAGGTGGCTCATAAGATTCTCCTAACACCGACAGACTCATACTCTAGGCTTTTATGAGCACTGGCAGAAAATCTAGGATAAAGGAAATCAGTTCATTGATTTAGGTCATCAACCAACCAGTCCAACAGGGCTTGCAAAGCCCTGGCCAGCATTCTTGCCGTCCAGATGGAGGGAGTGATTGGAGGGCTCCAGGCACAACCTTCTCAAGCTCTAGGGAAATTGAGCAGAGTCTACTCAAGGGTCTGCCTGGGAAAGATCACACAACAGATGCATCTGAAATAAGGGTTAAAGATCTTCTGTGCTGGAGCGATTGTGGGACAGGGGGAAGTGGAGGGAGAAAGAAAGGAGGAGGGAGAGAGAAAGCAGGGTGGGAAAAAGAGAGGGAAACAGAAGGAGAGGAACAGAAAAGGAGAGATGAGTAGAGAGAAGGATTAGAGAGCTGGGCTGGGGGTGCGGGGAGATGCTTAGAGAGAAGAATTAGAGAGCTGGGAGGTGGAGGAGGGGGTTGTTGGAGAAAAAGAAGAGAGAGGAAAGGTGGAGAGAGCCAATGAACGAGAACCCTGGAGTAGTAGAGCTAGCAGGAGAGAACCCTCTCTCCTTGACTGCCAGGCACCACAGGGTCTACCCACTTTTTACAGTAGTGTGTTCTAAGCATCTTCTTCCAAAGTTCCCAAGGACAGAAGTAATTGGACCATCAAGCCCCCAACTCATTGCCAGTGAGTGGGTTCTGACTTTTAGGGACCCCATAGGATAGAGTTCAGAACTGTGTCTGTGGGTTTCCAAGTGATATATATATATATATCACTTCATATCTGTATGACATATATATCACTTCATATACACATATATGGCATTTTCAAGTCCAACCTTCCATTCTGCATTTGCATATATCCTATCTCCAAAGGTAACTTAATTTATTAGTTTCATCCTTCTGCCTTTAGTGAGAAAACTCCTGCCTTTAGTAAGACATGTGCTTCATTGGACTAGAATGTTATGTCTGATGGAAGTTCAGGTCGGACCGTGCCATTCAGACCTACTGATGATAAAAATGCAAGCCTGTATTACAATAAACCCATTGTATTGGCAAAAGGGCTGAAAGAACCCGAGTTGGTTGTGAACTCAGAGCTGTTGGAACCACTACCATGGACACAATCCCGGTGACAATGGTTCACATTTTGAATTAAAGGAGATATCAGAGAAAGCCACAACATGGCTAAATGCATTTTTAAAATCCTACGCAGAAAGGAGTCTTGAGGAAAATAATATTGTATTCAGGAAAATGGGAAATGTCACAGCTGTGTCCTCTGTTGATTCTGTGTCCTTGAGTTTCACTGTCCCTCTCCGGTGTGGCTCTTGGGCATCCAGGTGAGAGACGACTCTGAACTCCGACGGGTCCAACCAAAACCCATAAGAACACTCTGCTGAATTTTACTTTGCAAACTAGGTCTTGGCCCTGGGGCTGGAGCGCGCCACATGGCAGCCGGCTGGCCTTCCTCATGCCGTCGTCTTCCTTCCTGCCTACAGCTCAGTGATTGCCTTATGTTTGTGTTTCTTCTTGTGCAGATGGGCAGAAGAAAGTTCAAGAAGAGTTTGACATCGACATGGATGCCCCAGAGACAGAACGGGCAGCGGTGGCTATTCAGTCTCAGTTCAGAAAATTCCAGAAGAAGAAGGCTGGGTCCCAGTCCTAGCGAGAGGGCCCCATCAGAGTGTGCCACTGAATGCAACCATCACTTATTAAAAAATTGAAAGAACAACATCCCTCAAGAGAAATTATCCAAACCCGGCACATACCCATGTGTGCATGCGTGCACACACACATACATACACACTCACACACACCCCAAACTTAAAATGCATGTACAGCAACCATGGTATCTAGACCCTTGTCCTAAGGTGTAAAACGATGCGATTGTGAGTGGTTTCACCTCTATGTTGATTTCCAGTACCATTCCTCCTGCAACGATATCCCCTGATGCTGTAATAAAATGGAGTTCCGAAGAGTAATTGAAGTGTCTGCCTTTATCTCTCTCTTTGTATTAATCGAGGGACGTGAGTAGTGTGCTACCGATGAGTGGGAACCAGATGTCTGTTTTCCTAAACACTGGGGGTGCAGCACGGAGCCTTCTGTGATGAGAAGGAGGGTTCCAGTCTCAGCTGCGGCCCTCTCATTTGGCGAACACTAACTATCCGCTAGGGATGGCAATACATTTTCATCTTATGATGGGAATTAGAGACCTCATTTCCCCCTACTGTCCTGGGGTGCTAACACTGCAGAAGTTTCACTGGGGAAATGATGGCTCCTCCAGGGCAACAAAAGGGAGGGAAGCGGGAGAGGGGGACACATCTGCGTTGGGAATGGGCCACCAGATTTACCCGACCACAAAAACCCTCACCGCCACCGAGTCCATTCAGACTCATAGTGACCCTCCTGGACCGGGTAGAACTCCCCTGGTGGATTTCGGAGGCTGTGAACTCAGGAGTAGGCAGCTTCGGCATTCTCCCTCCTCGGAGTTTTTGGTGGGTTCAAATGCCTAGCCTTGCAGTTAGCAGCCCAAAGTTTAACCACTACCCAGAACTCTAACTGCCACCGAGTCAATTCTGACTCACAGTGACCCCCTGTGGGCTTCCGAGACTGTAACTGTTTGTGGGAATAGAAAGCCCCAGGGAGCTGCTGGTGGCTTCAAACTGCTGACCACGTGGATCACAGCCCAACCGGTCACCACCACACCACCAGGGCTCCTACCCAGCAAGCAGACCTTTCAGAAACCCAAAGCAGATGCCCCTCCATGTAGAGGGCCATGCGCTGCACACCTGCAGTTTTTCTGTAACAGCCTGGGAGGGGTGGGTTGGCGGGCAGGGAGAGGAGAGCTCCAGGAGAGAAGCAAGTTCTGGTTCTACCACCTCCTCTAGGCTTTTCTGTGCTCCTCACGCTGTGATCTGTTCCATGCCAGGATGATCTACTGGGACCTCCAGTCTGGAGCTGGTCTCTGGCTTCTTCCCCACCTCGCCTCTTCTCCCTGCAGACCTCACAGATAAATGACTGCACATCAAGGTGCCATCGACATCGAGGGAGAGGCCCCACGTGGAGGGGCCTTTGGCTTTTTCCAGCTGTTTGGGTCCATTCCACTGGTAGCATAGTGGTTAAAAGATGCGCGGCTGCTAACTGAATGTAGGCATTGTCAACCCCTGGGAAACATGATAGAGGACCCTTTGGGGACATCCTAGTATGTCCAAAAGGGTCATTCTGAGTCAAATTGTTTGGGCACATTTCTGCCTTCAGGCCCCATCTATCAGGACCATCTAGTTTCCATGTCACCTATGACAGGTGTTTGATCTTTGCCACATGGGCATCTGTTGTAGAAGTCACATCTGGTCTTCCTCTGTGATGGCTCCGCACAATCCAAGGCGCCCTTCGGAGGGAGATGCCTTTCTCTCTTCTGCACACTGGGGCTCTGGGCATCTGAATCCACAGCAACTGGCAGGAGTGGTTCCGGTGATGGCTCTTTAGTCCAGAGTCAGGTTGAGGGAAGAAGGCAGATGGTGGCATGTTCGTATGTGCATGCATGCTCATGTGTGTGTCTGAGTGTGAAAAGATGAAGTTTGGTGGAAGTGAGCGAAGGGCCAACGCATGGCCAGGTGGTTGGGGAAGTTCTACCGCTCTGGCTGGGCTTCACTTGATGTCACTGTGGTTCAGATGGAGAAAGGCTGGCAGGTGTAGAAGGGCTGGCTGCCTCCAAAAATCCATCTGAAAGGAGATTTATTGACTGTGTGAGGGACTCCTTTCTGCTGGCATTTCCTGGGGGTTAGAAACCAGGAAACCTGTGACTTGCTGGCTTCGACTTCCAATCAGGAAAACAACTCAGAATTGCTTCCGGACTGCCAACCAGACCCCTCTCTGCAGGGGCTCCAGATGACCTGCGCTCTCCTCTGCAAACAGGGCCGGATGTTCAGGTAGCACTGCTGGAAAAATGTCTCCCAAACACGAGATGTTTACTTAACACAGAGCAATGAGAAAGAATCCACGGGATGTGTAGAATCCATTGGAATTCCCCAAGCTATTCATGTAAGGTGAATTAGGGAAATATGAAATCATTTCAGAACTGAAGTAAGTTCCTTTATCACCCCACACTTCCGGTACCACTGTTGTCCCTCTAGAGATTTCATGTGGGTCTCCCCTTCCTGGATGAGGCGTGGACCCAATGGTCAGGGCTGGTCTCTTCCAGCTCTGGACTCGAATGTGGTTTAACAGTGAGGCTGCTCCCCCTAGAGGGGACTCTCTGTGCACAAGAGAAAAATCCAAGGGTTGTGGCTCTCAACTCCCCTTTCCTCCCTCCCCCTGCTGAGTGGGCGGGGGAAAGCCTCTCACTTTCACTGAGAACAGATGAGTAACAGCGGAAATGGGAGGAGGGGGCGGGGAAGTTTGAGGGGACTTCACTGTCTGATCCTCCACTCTCATCACAACCATAGGTTAGAGTGTATCGGACTTCTCTTGAGCCACAGACAGGAATTCATGTTTTCACTTCCCAGTAACGTTCAAGACCCCATAGCTTCAGTGAACAGCAATGGGGGCTCCAAATATGCTCCCTCAGCATTGTAGTTACGTAGGGTTGAGTCATTGGCCTGGAGGAGGTTGGTGAGAGAGACATGGTTAAGCGATCTAAGTTTGCAGGATCTCGCCCTTCTCTTGGACAGCAGTATTAATTAATCCAAGAAAAGAGAGAGGAGTTTCCTCGGGCTGTCCCCTGACAGAGAGAGAGGCCCAGGGTGTCAGCAAATTGGGGGCATCCCAATTCTACGTAATTTCATACTTACTGATTCCCTACTATGTCCTGGGCTCCATGCTTGGTGCTCTGACTACCAAGGAGGAAGATTCTTCCAGTGAGGAGTTGAAACCCTGATGGGGAGGAGACCTAGGCAAAGGGATGACTGGAATGGAGACTCCAGGAGGGAGAGGGGCAGAGGGTCTTGCTGTGACAGAACAAAAGGTAGGCTGCCCAGACAGGCTTAAGAATCACACAAGTCTCCCCCAAGGAACTGCTGCTTTCAGCAGGGAATTGAGAGATGACCAGAGCTACTAGGTAAAGGACTAATGATTGGTGATGTGTTCTGATAAATGCCTAGAGAAGAGGTGCTCAATTTTGTAGGCCCCAAACCTCGCTCATCAGCAGAACTGAGACGAGTGGCTCTGGGATCCAAACCTGGAGAGGCTAGCATACAGTGTTACAAGCACTGAAGGTTTGGAATTGGATTAGGTCAACCAAGGGTCCACACACAAAAAGTAATCTACTGCAATCAGCTGGCTTCGTTAACAGTGTTAGAAGGTCATTGTGTTGACTTTGACTCATAAGGACCCTGCTTGTAGAAGAATAGAACTACCCCTACGGTTTTCCATGGCTGATTTTTCTTTTCTTTTTTTTTTAAATCATTTTTTTGGGAGCTTGTAAAACTCTTATCACAATCCATACATGCATCCCTTGTGTCAAGCACATTTGTACATCTGTTGCCATCATCACTCTCAAAACATTTGCTTTCTATTTGAGCCCTTGGTATCAGCTCATTTCCCCCCCTTCCCTCCCCACCCCCACTCCCCCACAAACACATGATAATTCATAAATTATTATTTTGTCATGTGTTAGTGTCCAACGTCACCCTTCACCCACTTTTCCAACGTCACCCTTCACCCACTTTTCTGTTGGTTGTCCCCCAGGGAGGGGGTTATATGTAGGTCCTTGTAATCAGTTCCCCCGTTCCACCCCACCTTCCCTTCACTCTCTCGGTATCGCCACTCTCACCACTGGTCCTGAGGGGGTTCATGTGTCCTGGATTCCCTGTGTTTCCAGGTCCTACCTGTACCAGTGTACATCCTCTGGTCCAGCCTGATTTGTAAGGTAGAATTGGGATCATGATAGTGGGGCGGGGGGAGGGAGGAGAGGAAGCATTAAAGAACTAGAGGAAAGCTGTGTGTTTCATCATTCCTACACTGCACCCTGACTGACTCGTCTCCTCTCTGCGAACCTTGTGTAAGGGAATATATTATCAGACTTCTCTTCTGATGTGCTTCTGAAAGATTGATGGAATCAAAATCCCAATCTTTTAGTTAGTTGCTCAGCACATTAACCATTTGCACCACCAAAAGATTCCATTAACATTCAAGCAGTGAGAAAATCTCTTAGCAAGGTGCTTGAGAAAATAAGTAAATGCCTGCTTCAATGTAAGGATGGTCCTTGTGATACAAATGGTTCAGTGTTTGACTACTAACTGAAAGGTTAGTAGTTCAAATCCACCCAGAAGCACCTCAGAAGAAAGACCTGGCGATTTTCTTCCAAAAGAGCAGCCAATGAAACCCTATAGAATGCAATTCTACTTTGAAGCACATGGGGTCACCATGAGTTGGAATCAACTCAATGACAACTGTTTGTTATTGTTTTTGATTTAATATAGCTCAGTAATAAGTGGAAGTTCTGATTAATGATGAGTCAAGTATTGCTTACCTTAATAACAACCCTTTCCCTGACTCATGAACCACAGCATGGAACTATGATGTCTTTGGACGAGTGGTGGACAACTGAAGCAAGAAATCGCCTTGGCTAATCAGATTCTCTTGTAAGTGGACTAAAAACCATGGCAAATGAGTTGTGGGAAGGAGATGTGGAACTGAGGCCAATGCCTGCACCATGCAGGTAAAATGTAGATGCAAGCGGCAGTTACCCAGCCTCTGAAGAGCCAGAAAAAAGCTACAAGAGCCCATTTAGAGAGAAATGCAGGCGGATTGGAGACACAAGATACCTGGTCTCAAGAAAGAAGTATAGCGGTAGTAATCTAGGCTCTTGCTGGTTGAATTAGTCATTTGGTTGCAATGAACAGAACCCATTTGAACTGTCTAAAAAAAGAGAATTATTCAGGTCTTACAGACATTGAAGAATAGCATCTCTAAGACATCTAAGAAAAGAATAGAACACAACCAGCAGGCAGAATTTCATTGAATTTATAAATAAATTAGGGCA